TGATGCAAAGAGGCAGCAAGGCAAACTTCAAGGGTCCCAGGAAGGTCTGTACGAGCATTACACAACAACATTAGGCATTGCTTGCCAAACACTATCACATTCATCGTGTTTATCATGCAGTGGTGATGTTAGGTAGAATCAGTGTTATAACAGCCACTGCGGTGGTCCGGCATTAAAAAGTGATGGAGAAACTCTCTTACATTTAGAATAGCGATTGAGATTTCCACATGTTACTTTAATATTGAATTATACACTTGTATTTAGGAGAGCAAGTCTTGAAAGAGGAACAAGGGTCCCCAATTGGAGTCCAGAGTAGGCAAGATAGGGGAGAGAGCGGCCTTCTCTGTCAATGTAAGCTAAGCTAAAGCTTGGTTTGAATAAAAATATGGACAAGTGCATGTTCTGTTTAAATAAAAAAACGAGTAGTTCTTTGCATAGACATCCCTGTAGATATAGGTTATATTTTTGATCAGTTCTATTGTTTATATATTTTCATATAGCGTTAGAGGAATGTTCATAGTGTTTTATCGATATAAATATCGTCATTATGGCTGTGTAATGAATATGGCATGGAAATAGTTGTATTATAATATATCTGATTTGAGGACAAAATTGTTTGATATCAACAACTGCTTGTGCCTTGTATCATATGTGTAATTGGGTTTTCAGAAAAGATGGTGGGAATCTTGAGGCTGGGTCTGGTGGGTACCCAGACAACAGGAGAAGGGTTCAGCAGCAGCACCCTACCAGCCCTTCCTCTCTCAAGGATCATGGTGACAGGCGTGTCCCTTCTTCGTAAGTAACATGGCTGGCTGGAGACACTGCAGACAGCTATAGTGCTGTTGTGTATTAGGCAAACAGCTGTGCAATCATCTGCTGAAATCTGTATAATATATATATCAAGAATACATAATACGTCATACCAATTTACCTGAAAATCGTATGTGTTCTTCAAAAAAGTTCTTTGAATACGACACGGTTTCGCAGTTTTCACGAATGGACGCATGTTTTCGGCCAAAGTTTGATATGCGGCAGCAGCCACCAGGTTGTAACAAGATACAAGTAAGAGACAATAGAACACTAATCCATAATAAACGTTGGCCGAAAACATGCGTCCATTTGTGAAAACTGTTTGAAACCGTGTCGTATTCAAAGAACTTTTTTGAAGAACACATACGATTTCAGGTAAATTGGTGGTGTCATATGATTAAGGGA